AAAAATTAAAAGAACTGAGAATGAACCAAAATACCAGAGAGTCAAAAGAAATTAACATTTGCTACTTACATCTGCACTTATTCTAGAAACAGAAAGCTTTGAATCCCTTTTCAATTGAGTAAGTTCATTGCGAAGACACTTTTTCTCCCTTTCCGAGGTTTCAGATAGTTGACTTAGTTTTGCCTCTAAAATGCTTCTTTTCTCCTCAGCTGAAGCAGCTGAAGACTCAGCTGCCTTGCGAAGATTCAATTCTTTTTGAAACTTTACCTAAAATCCAATTATCACATAATGACAATGATGATCACATTATCATTATCAAATGTCTTTTTTTAAAAATAAAAAGTATGTTGTATTATATTAACAAGGTACCAAAACGGGAGTACCGTCCATGTATAAATGACTTGCATAAAATTTAATATATCAATGACATTTCTAAAAGTCTCATCACTGATAATGTCATGATCTAATAAGATGATCCTAAAATAATGCATTCATCGATCTCTTAAACTATAAAGATCACTAACTTTACCTTCAAAAGCTCTCCAATTCCTTTCTTTCCAAATAACGCAAAATACAGTCAATGGAATAACATTTACAATGTTTCTTTTTATGCATTAACCATCCCAAACCCAAATTTCCCCACAGACCGAACCCGCCATAACCCAATTGATCCCCAAAAAGGCATAGATCATGCACCATAAGTCATATGCAATATCATCATAAATGTCTTTTCAGATACGACTGGTGGCAGATAAACAAAAATGCAAAGAAAAAAGTATAAACAAAATAAATAATAGCACGTCAGCATTTACACAAATTTCTAACATACCACAATAGATTAATTAAAACAAAATCAAAGATCGATTTTAAAGCAGCACATCAGTTGGAACCCAACTCTTGCTTGGGTCAGCAGGTCTGGCTCTTTCAAGCAAAGCTCAGAACGCATTCAAATAAGCAGATGGAGCACTTAAGTAAGCCCAAACAAAGTTCTACAGTTTTGGAGAAAGGAAAATTGATCTAAACGAGTAAGGGCAGATTTAGGTGGCAAATCGATCTAACCGCATTGCTTTTCATTATTTCTATGGATGCCCTTAATAAAATGCTTACTAGAGCAAGAGAATTACAGCTTTTCAAGGCGTTTGAAGGTAGGGGAAGGCAAAGATGATATAAATATGACTCACTTATTTTTTGCATATGATACTTTATTATATTATGAATCGGAGTCTCCTACTTGATCTAACACTGAAAATTTATTTATTGTGCTTCCAAGCATTAAATTGCTTCGATTTGCCATTTGGGCTAAACTGAAAGATACCTCAGTATAGACCCGAATTTAGATGGATATGAGTCTTGTTTGGTGGGTTAAAAAGGAGTTTGCTATACAAAGGAGGAAGAATGACACACATCAAAAGCACTTCAGCTAATATTCTCATTTACTTCTTGTCGATGCTAACAATCTCAGTCGTGGGGAAAAAAAACATAACAGAGAAAGAGATTAGAGAGAGACAGAGAGAAAAGGAGGAGGGGGGAGACGTTGTTCTCCTAACATAAGAAACGGTCCATGATACGCTAGTGTTTGTTTTCCTCCATGACAAGGATGCTTAAAAATATCACATTTAGATTATTACAAAATAACCACTCAATGAGTGCTACATTCTATCTTGAGTCAATTTCATCCCTAAACTTATTTCTATTAAAATATCACATTTAGATTATTACAAAATAACCACTCAATGAGTGCTACATTCTATCTTGAGTCAATTTCATCCCTAAACTTATTTCTATTAGAATAATGTTATCCCTGAATTTAGGATATAAAAATTTAGTACCTATTATTCCAAGTGAAAACTAAAGGCTTAAATTGCCAAAAAAGGTTACTGTAATCCATGCTTCATTCAAAAATCTGAATCCCAAACTTAACAGAATCAAGAAACTTGTTAGCTTATGATAATTTTTTTTGTCTTAATCTTTAGCATCCATCATCTTTTACAACCAGAAAAAATCATAGTGATACTAAATTTCATTTGAACTTTTGTAAACTCGGCCCAAATTCTTTAGGTTTTAAATTAAGTTCCTAAATGACTGTGCCTTACCAAAATCTTGGAGATTGATTCTTAACAAACTCAGAAGAACCTAACTTTGCAGTTGAAATAACAAAGACCAAATTAATGCATACCTCAGATCCAAGTACTATACTTGACATTTATCTAACATATACTTTCACAGACCCAACCCAGGCACTCTTTCCTATAAAAGCTTTGTCGTAAGAGAAGAAAAGTAAATACACTTATGAACATAACAACTGCAGGAGATAGCACAATTAAATAAATCAGTCATCTCTTCACCAGCTAGTTCAATAATTACCTGAAAATGTTATGCACCTTCTCCATTATATTGGCAAGTTCTAACCAAGAACATTAAAAAATCACTAAAATCACCTGATGCTGAAAAGTAATCCAGCAATCACCAGGATGCAGATTACAACCTGGTTATTAAATGGAAAAAGATATATATTCAGATGGATCTACCTCAAGTTCACTGTATGATTGTAATTGTTTTTTCAACCGTTCCCCAGAATCACTGACTTCTCTCAAAAGCTGCTCCTGGAGCACCTGTTCACGTCCTTTAGCGGCGGCGAGCTCTTGCTCCGCATATAAAAACTTATCCCGAAATTTCTTCCTCTCTGCTTCTGTGAAAGTGAGATTAATAACACCACCAAATAAAAAGCCATAAGCTGATCTCCACCCAAAAAAATGATAAAAGAAGTAGAAGGTTCCAAGACATCTAATTGGATTGATTTAAAAGAAAAAATATGCAGACCATGATTTGTTTTTTAAATAGAAAAAGGTTGAATGAGGAGAAAAGGAAGAAAATTAAACCAAGGATAAAATCTTAAAAGGAATCTATACAGGAACTATCAGATCAAAAGCTTGGACGGAAATAAGTTTTTTATACCTCATTATATTGGAAAATTCTGTGTTTGTGTGTATATAAATAATATATATATGCTCCTAGTAAGACCCTGTAGTTTTTATTTTGCCCTCATATACCCAAAGCAGTTCCCCTACTGAATGTTAAGAAGAAAGTACTTCTTCCCTCATGAAAACCCACCTGCTTTGCAGAAACCTTCATTTAGTGCCTCCAGTTTAGATTGATAATCGCTAACTTGCTTTTCTGCATTGCTTAATGCATCTAGAAAGTCTGATTTAACCTACAAAAACAAGATAAAGATACTTTTTCCATAAATAATGTGCAAAACCCAAAAAAATTGATTAGATATAACAAACTCAAGGAAAATATCCAGAAAGATTAAAATAATCAGCTGAATCAATAAAAGTGAGAAATAAGATCTCAGTATTAAGTATTTCCTGTCAAAGATAATTTTTTCAAGAGAACTTTATTTCTGAGGTTTTATAAAAAAAAGAACAATATTAAAGAAATATATGATCATAAAAAATGTGACAAAGGTCAATAGAAAGAAGTTACGTATGGAATGCAATATTCAACTTCGACTTCATCACATGATCTGAAGTCCTAAACAGCTTATCTGTAAATTCTTTCATGCCATATTTGTGCACCAAAATGGTAACATTTATCCTCCTTTTTCATAATTCTTTTTTTTTTGTCCAAATTGATTTTTAGTCTGGATACACGTGAAAGCATAACAAAACACATCTCAGATTCAGAAGGATCCTCTCCTCGGGTTGACAGAATATTAATGTGTCATCGGTAAAGAATAAGTGGGACACCTCAACTGTATGGTTCTTTCTTCCCACCGAGATCCCTTTCACAAGTTGTAAATCCTTAACCCTGCATAGCATCCCATTAAGAGCTCCTATCACAAGAATAAATAACAGAGGGGATAGGGGATCTCTCTGCCTTACGCCTCTGGTGGCCTTGAAAAATTCAGAAGGCCCCCCATTAATCAATAGCGCAAAAGAAGTTGTAGTCATGCACCATTTCATCCAGGCTTGTCATTTCTGTCCGAACCCCAACCTCCTTAAGATATATTCAACAAAGACCCAGCTCACATGATCATAAGCTTTTTTCATGTCTAATTTGCAAAGAAGACCGTCTTTACCTCTAACCATAAGGTCATCCACAGCCTCATTTGCAGTCATCACCACATCTAAGATTTGTTTGTCTTCAACCAAAGCGTGTTGACACTCCCCAATAACTTCCCCCAGCACTCTAGAGAATCCTTTTGCCAAAACTTTGGCCAATAATTTGTAGATGCACCCCACCAAACTGATGGGTCTAAAATCTTTGAACTCCTTTGGACCTTTCTTTTTAGGGATGAGAACCAGGAAAGTAGAATTGAGAGATCTAACAAACTTACTCGAATTGTGAAATTCCTTAAAAAGGCTCATAACATCATCCTTGATTAAAGACCAGAAGTTTTAAAGGAACTTCATATTGAATCCATCTGGTCCCAGTGACTTGTTTCCATTACAAGATTTCAAGCATTCAGCAAACTCTTCCTCCAAGAATTCGGCTTCCAATAGTTGTTTGCTGGTCTCGGAAATCTAGTTAAAATGGAGAACATCCAGTTTAGGCCACAAACTGAAATCATCCTCATTTAGCTTGGAGAAAAATTTACTGGCTGTCTCCCTTAGTTCTTTATCACCCAAAACCTTTCTTTATTACCCAAAATCTTTCTATCTTCAAAACTGATCTCATCTATGAAATTACAGCTTCTCCTGTGGGTGGCCAAAGCATGGAAATACTTGGATCTCCCTCCTCAAGCCATTTCTCCCTTGATTTCTGTTTCCAAGTATATTCATCTGCTTTGAGAATGGAGGATAACTAAAATTTCAGGATGTCCCTCTTGGAGTATTCCTCATCAGTCAACCCACTGCAAACTTCCTTTTTCCTAATTCTTACTCTCACAGTTCAATCCTTCATTGCAAAACAACTACTATATACGAAAGCAAGTCCACTCTTCATAAGTTTTCATAGAATTAATCATTTAACTTCCACTCTCAACACAACAATAAGCAGCATATATGAAGAAAAAAGTTCCTAAACTCCAACCAGCTTATCTTATAGCAAGAACTCTTAGTTGTAATTTAAAAGCACGACAATTTTATTCCACATACAACGCATATATCTACTTAACCTTTTTGTTTGAAAATTAAAAATCAGTTAATTACATAATCCGAAAGACAAACCATACTTAAGACCTACAATACCAAAAAAGGTTATGGAGGAACCACAATACTGAAGTGTTTTTTATATAGAAAAAGAAGTATCATTGGATGGGAGGAGAAGAGTACAATAAGAAAAGAGGACTAGTTAGTGACCTGAAGGCTGACAATAAAACACATCTCAGTTCAGAACAGCGAGCAAATGCTGAAATTAGTAACCCTAATATAATAAAAAATATATATGGACGATTTGAATTAACATTCCCTTCAAAGCCATAAACAAGAGGAACAACGAAAAGGCAAAGATTAAGTAAACCAAAACGCACAAGCAAATTGAAACATATAAACGTAAACATATATAAAACGCAGAGCATAAACATGAGAGTGCGAACCATTTGTCGGCATTGGTAGGTGCAGAGCAAGTGATCCGACGGCTCGTGGGAGGAATTAAGCGGCTTGACCGTAGGTGAAACGTCTTCGTAAATCACGAGCTGTCGGTTGGAGCCACTGCCGCCGCCGAGAATTGGGCTATCTTGAGATATCGGTTCGGTTCTGCATCTCTTCTGTGGAGGACTTCTCGGTATCATTTTCAGGATTTCTAGGTTTTCTCCACACACACACACACACACAAACTCTCTCTCTCTCTCTCTCCCCCTCTCCCTCTCTCTCTACCTCAATCAATATGCGTCTGCTGGAGTTGCCGAAGTTTAATTTGAAAGGAAAGGCGCCATTTCTGAAGGCCTTCTTCTCTGTCAAATGTGCAACACGGTAGCAATCCCACAGGAGCAGCCAACTGTTTAAATACTCCGGTAAAAATTTTGATGATACTTCGGATTCGAACCCGTTTAGTCCAACCCGTCTAAATTTCACCTGATTCAATTTTTTCGTTACAATACCAATTCGGACCGGGTTCGAATCCGAGTCGTCTCTATTCTTTGTTTGGGTAAATTATTAAATTAATTTTTAATATTTTATATTTATTAAATTTAATTATTAATAATTTTTTATTATAATTTAATCCCATAAAATTTTAAATTATTTAAAATACATATTATATTAAAAAAATATGTATTTAAATGTTAAAAAATTAATTTACTAATATCTTAATAAACTACATTGACTAAATTGGATTTAACGACATAATCAATTACAAATTAAAGTAATACAATAATGTAAAATAGTGAGAAGTTATAAGTAATACAATAATGCTCATAGGGTAACTACAATGTATCCAATTATTATTCTATAATAAATAAATAATACTGTATTCTATAAACATATACATATGCCTTTTTGATTGTCAGCCCTATAAGAAGAAAATTAGAATCCAAAGCATAAATAACATAAGAAAATGCACAGGACTAAAAGCTAGCTTAGTCCCAGAACTCGGTATGTTCTTGAGGAGCTTTTATTAGAAATAGGGTCTAAAATTTCAGTCCCGAATGAATAGCAACAACTCCCCCGACAAGATTTTCGTACTCAACCTTCTGAAACCCTGCATCTGCAATCATCGAAGCAAACTTCTCCTGCGTTGGTTAGTCGCAGAAAGATCAGTGCACGAATCACAATAGAGAAGAAACACCATAGCATGCAATCATAAGATACAAACAGGTTATGTAACTTTGTGCTTCAGATTTTTTTGCCCGGTTAAAAGTTGAAAAAGTTGAATATGGTCACGTCAGGTTGTTTTTGAGTTGCATATTTTCAAGGTTCATTGCTTAGATGGTGCTCGGGCATGCAACTAGTCAGCTAAGAATTAAAAGGAAGCGATATAAACGAGTCGAGAACACCTTAGGCTTGTAAAGGAAGCAGAATTTTAATTGCAGAGTTATGAAACATGCAAGGGCATAATGGATGGAACAAAAATAATATATGAACTGAGATATATGGCAGTTACTGACTGTTTAAATGAAATCAAAATAGCTCAATTTTATTCCGATTGTTTGAATGCTAAAAAGGAAGAATGCAGAAACATTATTTAGTTTCTCTTCTACTTTATGACCCCCCAACACACTCTTTCACCATGATGTTCTTCGATTATATTATTTGCTATCTACATATGCGCTATAATGTTCCTATAGGCGCCATAACCATTGGCATACCCTACTTTATGTCTGACGCATTATTTGGATCCCATTTCTTATAAATCCAAGTGCACCTTTTGGTTTAGTAGTTACAAAAGGTTCAAACTTCAAGGTGCATTCTCAGAAGAAGCCTATAAAGTACAGGGGGCGTGAGACGGTGCAATTTTAACGGACTGCACATCTACGAGTTAAAATTTGGTAATAGAATTAAAATGACCAGATTAAAACCTGAGGGGGAAACCGGCGGATGCTCTCAACCAAGTATTGATAGGATTCCCGATCACCTGCAACTAATTCTCCCATAGCAGGAATAACTGAGAAAGAATAATAATCATACCTGCATGAGAGAGAAAAAGAATGTCTCTAAATTTAGGGATGCAAGAAAAATATACAAGAGAAAGACAATAATAAAAGTGAGTTCGACCAAGAAAATCCAGGGACTTTTTCAATTTCTGTTATCCACCAAAACCAGTAGAGCAAAGCTTCTTCACCAACATAGATGATCAACTGTCAACTAGTGTTTGCAATATTTCTCATATAAGATAAAAAGAAAAATTCCTTGTATCTGCAATCTATTTGTTTGGAAAGTGTGATCTCTGAACGGAAAGTTGGTCAACAGGGCTGGAACTATGTAAGAACAAATGAGCTACAATTACATTTAAACTAACAGGCAAGCCTGTCAGTCATTCCAAGTCCAGTTGAATAGAGGTCAGAGCAATTTAAAGGTTTCCAAAGTCATTGGTTCGAGCAAATATCTCTGCCATAACTTTTGCTGAGCTGGCAAGTTATCAAATTGTGAAAAAAAAAAGACCAAAACCTGACACCGAGAAGTAAGGATATTGGTTACAATAATACTAACGAATTTAACCAAAAAATGAGAGAAAATCAATAAGCAGTAAGTTGCATGAGTCCACATAATGAAATCAATTTTCCCTGGCAAAACATATCGAATACTCACAATTCCTTGAAGACAGGTAATTCCACATGGCTGAGCTCAAGGCAAAGGAACCTTCCTCCATGCTTTAACACCCTAAGGAAAAGGAAGATTTTTTAGGAAAAGAAGAAGAAAAAGCACAGCTGTTTGCTACCAACTGAAGTTGCTGCCCAAATATAAATACCATTAGTGAGACACAATTCCTCAGGCATTCTACTTAACAAATGTCATTGCTATTGGTAACTTCTTTATAAGAAAAACTGAATGTACTGGATTTGACAGTGAACTGAATCCCTATATTATTTTGAAGCAATATTTCAATTCCTCATATGTTCTACTTGTTCTACTAATATAGCAGGATAGCCACTATTGGTAACTATTGGACAAAGAAAATAAAAAAAGTTGCCATATTTGACAGTGGAAGTGGTCATGAAAGGTCCTCTCTTAGAATTAAAACAAACATAACTAAGAGAGGAAAGAGATCTACGTTCAGTGGTATAAAACTAATTCAACATAAGAGTATTTTGCCTCATACTTAAATCAATATTTCATCAAGCAATTCAGGTGTACAGAAACAAACAAAAGGCAAAAATCTGATAACCATACCTATAAGCCTCAGCAAGAACCTTCTCTATGTGTGTGACATTCCTAATTCCAAATGCAATAGTATAACCATCCATGGACTCATCTTCAAAATTTAAGGCTTCTGCATCTCCCGCCACCCATATGAGGGATTTCTCTTCACCAAGACCTATATATGGTGGAAAATTGGACAGAGAAAACTCTAATGTCTGATAGGTAGAAGACGAAAAGATAAAGAAAACTCTAGTGTCTGATAGGAAGAAGACGAAAAGATAAAGAAAAATCTAATATCTGAAAAGAAGAAGACAAAAAGATAAAAAAAGCAGATCTCTAGTCTGCAAATTCAAAGGTACAGAAATTAAAAAATCAGGATTATGCAGTTTTACCTCTCTCCATGGCACGCTTCCTTCCAACGTTCAGCATGTTCGGGTTGATGTCACACACGTATATTTGAGTTTCCTCCTGTAAACTATTACTAAGATCTTGCATTGCTCTACGCTTGACAGAGTTTACATTTTCTAGGATCCTGAAAGCAACATCCCCTGAAAATTGAGTATTTTTTACTTAGATCACAATAAATGATTTACTAGTTTGTGGAAAAGTGATGAAACAGATTCCATTGCTGCATGAAGCTTCATTTTACATCTGACCACTTTCTGATCCAAATAACTATCGTCATTAATACTGTTTGTTTGGGCAGACGTACAAAGTTTTCTCACGTTTACAACTGAGACTGATATAATTTACTACCACAATTTTCTTAACATAAAAAGATATACATATGTGTAAATAATCTACTGCCACAATTTTTTATCCTGCCTTTGACTTCTCCATGTTCTGACCACAGCAGTTTCTGTGCATGAAGTTTTCTTGTCTATGTATCACAAAAAGTATTAGTGATGAAGGTAAGGCAAGCTACGCTAACCTGTTCCACCAGCCACATCAAGATGATGCATTCCAGGAAATGGATTTAGTTTGGAAACCAATCTGGAAATATACATAGATTATGCAAAAAAGTAAGAATCTAACATAGGTAGATTATTTGGTGAAATACAATGAAAGTAGCATTTAGAATCTTAACCTGTCCTTCCATAATCTATGTAAACCAGCACTCATCAAATCATTCATGAGATCGTAGTTCTTAGCTACACTGCTGAAGACGTTACCAACCATTTTACTTTTTTCTTCTTCCCGTACTTCCTTAAACCCTGAAAACGAAATTCTAGAAAATCAATCTTCTAACATCTATTGTGACTGTGAAACTGTGACTGTAGACAGCCATAATTGTTACAACTAACAAATAAGTGCATAAAAGAACGTATGCATGATTCAAACAACATAGAGCATATTCTACATAGTTGCAGAAAATCGATGAAAATTTTCAAATATGTTCAATAAAGAAGAGAAACCTACGAACACGTATAGACATGCAGCCATGTCAACACAGAGTTGAGAGAGAGTTACCAAAGCTTGTGGCATGTGAATGTAGAGGAGAGGTCAAAAACATAGCAGGAAGAAGTTTACTCCTGAACTTCCTGGTGGCCAGCCTGAGTGCCATAGTCCTACAAAGAAAATTTTCCCGTTAAAAAGAAACTTCTTATCCATTATCAAAAGCAAAGCTACCTCATTCATTTTAGATATCAAAACTAACAAATTCTCTAGTTCTATCTGAAAGCATGCAACTTGTAAGAATAACCACATTAAACTTCCATTGAGGTAATTAGTAATCAATTGCAGAGACTGAAAGTGATCATCCAGGCTGACCAAATAAGTGCTAGTACAGAAACCAATTACTTAGGAAGAAACAGAATAACATAAACATCAGTGGAAATCTAACTAAAAGAATGCGACTGACCCCAGCAAAGACACATCTATATTGAGATGATGCACAAAGTTTAAAGTGGAGATATAATAAAAATAATTTAACCCTCCCAAGCAAAGATATATCTATATTGAGGTGATGCACAAAGTTTTAAGCAAATGCCAGAGACATGTGAGCCTAACTGTTTAAACTAGCAAAAGGCATAACCAGAGGCAACTGCGCAGCAACATCTACCAACTGGCAACATGGCTACGAGTAACGCCAATGGTAGAAAATTGGGAACTTATACCACATTCTCTCTGAAAGCATACTGAGAACAAGCATGCATCCAGGGATAACCATGGTGTTAGACTACCTCTTTCACCATCTTTTTTAAATTTTCAGGCACATTAACAATCATTAAGATAGCTAAAAAAAGAAACCAGAATAAAGAACTCAGTGAATTATCACAAGAATTAACAAACATCATCCTTTTAGGCGTTTGATCAAACAGATTCTAGGCATACCTAAAATTCTCTTATTTTCAGCTAACGCTCTCGGCTCAATCTCACATTGCATACGCGCAGAAATCAAAATGAAAATCATGCACCAAAAGAAAAACGTGACACCGAATTCAAAATATAGAAATTAGAAAAAAATTAAAAACTGACTTAATGGAACTGTTGACCTCCAGAGTAGAAATGGAGACACATAACCGAAATTAACAAACTTACAATTAAAAAATCCAAATAATAAAGAGCAGAGATCTACTGAGTTGTCGCACAAAATGATTTTCAGCAGAGGTGACGAAGGGAGGTCTAATAACGGTGAAATGGGCGGTCTGAATTCGCGAATACAGCGAAAGAGGGTCAACAATGGAG